TAAAAATGTTACATAAAAATATAGAGAAAAAGCCACTTCAACACTTTATGCAAGTTTCCTTTTCCACATCATTATTTTTTAAAAATGTGTGATTTTCTAGCAACTTAATTGTCATTTGTCACTTCCATCGACAGAAGAATGAAATTGGTATCGAAAATTAAAGTTTAAAAATATTTTTGATATTTTTTAAAATTTAAGAGTAAATTTAGTATAAATCAAAAAAATGAGGACCAAATTAGTGTTTTAACCAAAAAAATATCTTACATGTCGGCTAGAGGGGAGGATTCTTTCACCGCGCAAGCATTATTCATTCAAAATACATAGCGGATAGCGCCGAAAACCTAAAGGCAAAAGGTGCAGATCACCCCCTCAATTCAACAACTGGTGGCAAATCACCCCCTCAACCCACTTCACGCGCAAATCACCCCCTCAACTCACCTGCAGTGGCAAATCACCCCCTCTGTTAACACCGGCACCATCCTTCCGTTAGCTTTTAATAGTCCACTCATAAGCCCTTCCTCTGTGTTTGATGTGGCCTTGTCTTGCCAAGATGGATGCTGAGGTTGAGGCACACCTGGACAAATCACCTTAAAATCAGCAAATCAAACAAAATTCTCGGTGGGATGGCGGATGGTTTAAGCAGCATGTGGGACTACTGGGCAGTTTATGTTAAAAATACCTGAGACAGAACAATCGGAACAGCCAAAATGGCATAGCATCCTGGTAACACAATTGAAATTGTTAAGGATATGAATGAAAATGGTGACTGGAGATCGAAGCGTGAGGGATCTGTTGACGGCGAAATTGGGTGGCGACCTTCCTTTACTTATTGCCTCACTACGGCTGCGATTAGGTCTCCGACGGTGTTCTCTTGCGACGTAACAACTTGCACTGCACCTACGCTACCTTGTATTGTCACGTTCAAGAGCAATTTCGTCAACTTCGGTCTTCCTTCCGGTGAGGAAACTCCAAGAGGAATATTCCTCTCCGACCGTAGTCTGGCAACCTCTTCGGACGCTGGAGCTCAGCGTCTTTGGCAAAATTGAGTTGAGTTTGGTTGGGTGAGTCATGACTTAGGTGGGTGAACCTCAGTGATCAAATCAACAAAGGGAAGATAAGGGGCCAAAAAAGCCTAAAACCAAAATCCCCAAACATTACCTGCGAGTGTGTGGAAATAGCAAAAAATGGTGAACAAGAAGCTATTAAGTCCTTTTCTCCTTTACCTATCTCTCTCCTCTCTCATTCTCCTCATCATTGTTACCCTAAGACAC